GATGGTCGTTCAATCGTTGTTGTAGTAGTAGTTGTGGTAGCCGTCGTGGTAATGGTGGTGGAAGAATTTGTCGTAGTAGTAGTAGGGGCAGACATAGCATTAGAAGCCGTTGTAGCAGCAGTCGTAGTCGTAGTCGCATCTGTTGTCGTAGTCTGGGTCGTAAAAGTATTAGCGGTAGTCGCAGTCGACGCCGCAGGCGTGGTAGTCGTAGTCGCGAGCGCAACCTTTCTATTCATAATAAATGCAGTTTTAGTAGTCGTGGTAGTAGTAGTAGTAGTAGTAGTAGAAGTAGTAGAAGTAGTAGTAGTAGTAGTAGTAGTAGTAGTAGTAGTAATAGTAACCGTAGTAGAAGTTTCAGTAGTCGCTGTAGTAGTAGAAGTAGTAGAAGTAGTAGTAGTAGTAGTAGTAGTAGTAGTAGTAGTTGTAATAGTAGTAGTCGTAGTAGTAGTAGTAGTAGTAGTCTTAGCAGTACTAGTAGTAGCAGTAGTAGTAGTAGTAGTAGTAGTTTTCGTAATATTATTAGTAGTAGTAGTAGCTGTGGTAGTCGTTGTAGTTGTAGTAGTGGTAGTCGTAGTAGTAGTAGTAGTAGTAGTAGTAGTAGCAGTAGTAGTAGTAGTCGTAGTAGTAACAGTAGTAGTAGTAGTAGTAGTAGTAATAGCAGTCGTCGTAGTAGTAGTAGTAGTAGTAGTAGTAGTAGTAGTAGTAGTAGTAGTAGTAGTAGTAGTAATAGCAGTCGTCGTAGTAGTAGTAGTAGTAGTAGTAGTAGTAGTAGTAGTAGTAGTAGTAGTAGTAGTAGTAGTAGTGGAAGTAGTAGTCATATTATTATTATTAGTAGTAGTAGTCGTATTAGTAATAGTAGTAGTAGTAGTAGTAGTAGTAGTAGTAGTAGTAGTAGTAGTAGTGGGCCTGCGTTCCCGACCTGCTCGCTGGGGTCTGCCCGCCCGGTCTGTTGTATGTTTTGCTTTTGGCGCCTCTTCTGCTCGGTTCTTTTGTGTTCCATCTCTCTTCCCCTACCATCCGCCCTTTCTTCCGTGATCATAGGGGCTGCCCTACATGGACGTGGCAGGTAGTGAAGATATACGCCCAAGTGGGTATGATCGAACACGAAGAGGGCGGGTACCGAGCGTTTGGGAGAGACGTATTGGTGGCACGTGAGCAGGCAGGTTCGAACAGTCTTAAAAAGGTTCGTTGCTGTTGTTGTTGAGTTCCTGTTTTACGACATGATTATTGTTGATTCCCTTTCTTCCGGTAGCCATTGTGTTTTTCGATTGGAACGCTGTTCCTAGGACTCGCACTCTGCTCTTCTCTTAGAAGGGAACATGAGGGGTCACCAAGTTGCGTTGTTGGGTCCTGGTTTATAACAACAGTGGCTCCGCTTTCTTCCCGCAATTCATACAGGACTCGCGCTCCCGCGAGTTTTGAAATACAAATATTCAGGATCCGCGCTCTCGACACTCAGGAATCACGCTCTCGCTGTGGATTTCCTCACGATGTATTTGTGAAGCGCGCGAGCGCTCGAGCTTTCCTCGTGGTGCATGCCAGAGCCACGCTTCAGGAACCCGCCTGCTCGACCTGGCCGCTTTGGTCCGCCTTCTCGACCCCTCCGCTAGGGCTTACACGCCCGATCTGCTCGTCTGGTTCTGCCATGTGTATTCTGCTCCTCCCCCTTACCCCAGGGAAACAGCTCATCATGCTAATTTGCAAGTTGGGCCACGTTTTTGTTCAAACTCCTTCGGTTCGCAGCACCACCAACACATGAACATAACTGGATACACAGGGGACTTCGTCAGCGAAGGCGTGAGGGTGCAGTTTCGGCTCCGATCATGTCGGTAAGCGGTTTTTACAAGCAAAATATACCCATGTCACTCGATTGCATGATGCGACTAACGCGTTCTATTCCACAAACCTGCCTGCCCCGTTGGACACAGTGAGTGAGCGAGTTGGTCAGACCTGAAGATGACTTTTTGGCGCGCGAACGAATTACCATAGCTACGTTCACCTCCGTGATGCACTTGGACGGGCCTTCCTATCGGAGAAAGGACGCCTCTTTTGATATACTTCGACGGAGGATACTTCTGTTGCCGCGTATGCTTGCGCAGTTGAGAAATCACATGACGAAAACCGATCAGGCAATGTTATTCACTGGTTGACCTTGGCTTCAGCTGTCGTTTCGGAAACGAAACCGAAGTCAAAGTCACAGCTTTCGTTTGTGATTTGGCTGGCCACTTTCTGGCACCCGGCACTTCGCTTGCGAGAAGAGCTCTTATCGCCCAGGACAGCATGACCGACGCGGGGCTCAAGGGCATAGGCACACAACCAAAACACAGTACGCAGGTCAACTTGTATTTCGGCGTAGGCAAGTGCAGCTTCAATGAAGCCGTCCACATCGTGTTGGAAGTCAAGACAGCCACGGTGGCCAAGCAACCAGAGCTAAAGCTAAGTTACAGCTAAGATAAAGCTGAGCTAAAGCTAAACTAACGACTGAGCTAAGCTAAAGCTAAACTAAATATAAGCTACAGCTAAGATAAAGCTAAGCTAAGCTGAAGCTAAACTAAAGCTAAGCTAAAGTTAAAGCTAAGCTGAAGCTAAGCTAAAGCTAAGCTAAAGCTAAGCTAAAGCTAAGCTAAAGCTAAGCTAAAGCTAAGCTGAAGCTAAGCTGAAGCTAAGCTAAAGCTAAGCTAAAGTTAAGGCTCCCAGGGGACCGGGGGAACCGCTGGGCGGGGACCGGGGGAACCGCCCGGGGCGAAGCCCACTCCCCGGCGCCTTTAAGCCCAGCGAGTAAGAATCCTCTAGGCAGAGCCTAGGTAGGGCAAAACTATGTTATGCTGTGCTTTGCTATGCTAAAGCTCAGCGAAGCTAAGATGAAGGTAAGCTAAACTAAGATAAGCCTGAGCTAAGATGAAGCTCAGCTAAGCTAAGATGAAATAAGCTAAGATAAGATGAGATAAGCAACGCTAAGCTAAGGAGACGTAACTGGGGGAACCGACGGGCGGATGCCGGGGGAACCGCCCGGGGCGAAGCCCATTGCCCGGCCCTTTAAGTAAGCACACAGGATAAGAACCCTTCTAGGCAGAGCCTAGGTAGGGAATGATTGTTGTGCTTGTCGTTGTTGGTGTTGCTGTTGTTGTGATTGTTAACTTGTGTCGGTGTTGTCGTTATTGTTGGTGTTGTTGTGTGTATTGTTGTTGGTGGTGGTGGTGGTTGTTTTGGTGTTGTTGGCGAGTCATTTCCAGAGAGTACTGATTTCTGTAAACGGTTCCGCGCGCTCTCGCCCCGACGCTGGCTACATGTACTCTGAAAACGAGCCTCCCGCGCGAACGTTGGCTTGAGTGTTAATGTGGACCCTTGGAGGCCTGGCTACAACGACAACGGCTTCTGCTCGATACGTCCTCACAGTTTATCCCGAGACACCCCGGCCAGAGAGGCCCCCGAACTCGGGAACGGCGCTCTCGCCCGAGACTTCCTCGCAGTTCTGTCAAGTTGGCGGAGGCCCCAGCCACGACGACAGGGGCTCCTGCTCGATACCTCCTCACGATTTACTCCGAGCGCCCCTGGCCAGGAAGGCCCCCAAACTCAGGAACGGTGCCCTCGCTCGAGACTTTCTCTTGATTCAGTGAAATTGGTGCATGCTCAACTACGATGACAAGGGCTCTCGTTCGATGCTTCGTCAATCTGTATTCGCAGAGGGCCTTGCCAGAGAGGCCCTCGAACTCAAGAGTGGCGCTCTCTCGAGAGACTTTCTCGTAATTCAGGCAAGTTGGTGGAGGCACATACACGGCGACAACGGCTCCCGTTCGATATTTCTCCGTATGCATTCCGAGAGCCCCTGGCCAGAGAGACCCCCGAATTCAGGAACTCGCTCGATACTTCTTCGCATCGAGGTTTGGGGTATACAGAATGCATGACACGCGTGCCAGAAAGAGCGAACAGTCTTAAAATGATTGTTGTTGTTGTCGTTGTGTTGTATTTGTTTTTGCTTTTGGTATTGTTTATTGTCGTCGTCCACCCCGCGACCGCCCGGCGTCCTTCCCCGCGACCCGCCTTGCGACCCACCCGCGACCCACGCACGTCGCTTTGACGTAGAATTCGGCGCATGTGTCGGGCTCGTTTTGTAACGTGCAAAAGAATCGGTGCCTGTGGCGTGCTTCTTCAAAGCTTCCTTGACTGCCGACGACCCCACCGCCCCTTCACTCTTATCCGTAATTGCGGGGTGCTACGTACGTCCCTCCTCGTGGTTTCCCAGAGGTCTCGACCCACTTCCCTGGGACCGATTTTTCACCCCGAGTCGTTATTTGATTGTCCCGAGACCCAGCGAGGGTCTCCAGAGGCCAAACATTTGGGAAACACGTCCGTTGTATTTTTGTTTTCTTCCGCGACGCGAGCGGATCTGGGGTAGCGACGTATTTCTTTGGCTTTCCGAAGCGGGCAGTCCGTGGCTCCCCTCGGCGGCGAGCGAGGTGGGGGGGAAACGAGAAGGAGAATGCCTTCTCAGAAGGCGGCGGGGGTTCTCAGAAGCGCCCCGGCCTTCTGAGAACTTTCCTGTGACTTCCTTCGGGTAGAAAGCTCGGAACATTTCTCAGAGGGCCGGAGGACTTCCAAGCCTTCTGAGACGCCCCGCCCCTTCTCTTAGGACAGATTTCCCACCCCCGCTGCCCTACGCAGGACGGGGGGAGATCCTCCTCCTCCTCCTCCTCCTCCTCCTCCTCCTCCTCCCTCCTCCTCCTCTCCTCCTCCCCCTCCCTCCTCCCTCCTCCTCCCTCCTCCTCTCCTCCTCCTCCCTCCTCCTCCTCCTCCTCCTCCTCCTCCTCCCTCCTCCTCCCTCCTCCCTCCTCCTCCTCCTTCCTCTCCTCCTCCTCCTCCTCCTCCCCTCCTCCCCCTCCTCCTCCTCCCTCCTCCCTCCTCCTCCTCCTCCTCCCTCCTCCCCACCTCCGTGGCAGCGGCGGCGGAGGGCCGCTGCCCCCACGCGCGGCCCGCCGCCGGCCCCCCCCGCGCGCTCCCAGGAGGGCGCGGCGCCGCTCGCCGCCGCCCTCGCCTGCCAGGGCAGCTCGGCCAGCGCCGGGGCCTCGGGGAGCGGCCGCGCGCCCGCGAATCGCGCGCCCGCCTCGCGCGCGTGCGTTCGTCGGGCAGCGGCGCGGGGGGGCAGGCCTGGAGGTTGACACCACCACCAAGATCGGTCCCAGACATGCTCGCGTCGTAAAAAAATCAGGACGGAGGTTTTTCGCCGCTTTCGGGCGCTGGAGGCCTTCGCCGGGCCTCGGGACCGTCAAAAAACGAGTCAGGATGACAATTTGTCCCCGGGGAAAGGGTCGGGACTTCCGGGGGCGCCGTCCTGAAAAAAACAGGACGTCGCATGTCTGGGGAGGTCGACACCACCACCAAGATCGGTGGTGTCCCTCCACTGAGGGAAGAAGATCCCGATCTGGGTGATGGTGGTAGTGTTCTGGCTTCCAGGGTGGCCGAAAGATGACCACCCACACCGGAATCTAGGATCAGCTTCCCCCCTGTGGGAGGCAACCCCCCTTGTGTTGGTGTGGGTGCCAATTTCCGGGCCTCCAAGAGGCGTGCCGGGCCTGCCCGCAGGGCCGGCAGAAACACGGCGGGGAGACGCACACACCCAGAGAGGCAAGGTGTTGACAAAAATCGAGGCGGAGGTTGTTCGTATTTTTCGGCCTCGAGGGGCCCTCGCCGGGCCCCGGGGCCGGCAAAAAACGACTCGGGATGAGAAGCCGGTCCCGGGGAAGGGCTCGAGACTTCTGGGGACGCCGTGTGGAAACAATCACGACGTCGGACCTCTGGGAACGCTGTTCATGTCCAACTCTTCGAGAGTTCTTTGATTTTTTGCGGGGCGCCAAGAGCCTCTCATCTCTGAGTGTTCTACCCTGGGCCTCTTCCTGGCCACCAGGGGGCCAGGAACAGTGAGGAACGAGCACAGTCAGAAATGAGCACGGACAGGAATGAACGACGTGCAAGGTTCGAGTGCGCCTCGGGTTTGCCGACGCTCTTGTACGACCGCGCCCGGGATCTTGACCGTCCAGTCTTCGTGGGAGGCCTGCAGCGGGAGCTCGCGCGTCCAGTTTCAGACTGGGTCTCGCCAACGCATCATCATCATCATCATCACCACCACCACCACCACCATCATCATCATCATCATCATCATCATCATCATCATCATCATCATCATCATCATCATCATCATCATTATCAGTATCATTATTATTACTATCATTATCATTATCACTACCATTATCATTATCATTAGCATTAGCATTATCATTATCATTATCATTATCATCATCATTATCATCATCATGGCCCCGTCAGGCCAACCCGAGTCCCCCGCTTCCGAGTCTTACGTCTCCCCGAACAGGCAGGTGCTCTAAGAACCTCTGGTGCACCAGAGCAGAGAAGAACCACCACCATACTCTGGGGGGGGCTGGCCGCCCCCTCCCCCTCCCCGGGCTGGTGGCGCCCCGTTCCGGGCGCGCTCCCAGGGAGTGCCCAGAACGGAGTGCCACCGCCTCGGGAGGGGGGGTGGCCTTTGGGAACGGAATTGTACAGTCGGGGCGCTGACGAAGGACCCCTTTTCGTTGGGGAGGGGCTCCTTGTTCCTTGATGTTTTCACAATTTGCCTCCGGTTGTCCTTAGATTTCCGATGGGAAGTCGAACTTTAACTGATGGGAAAAAGGGGCCTTGATCCTTATGTAGGGTTCCTCAGGTCAACGTCCCGACTGATGGAGTTCTGGTCTTCATGACTAGTGGCTTGCATGAGTATGTTTAAGAAGTCCTGGAACGGTTCTGGCTGAGTCCGACTTGTGTTAATGCACCGGTTTTCATGTTCTACGAATAGTCTTGTTGTTTAGCGCACTCATCGGTTTTGGGATCATGCCGTGGTGGGCCCATAGGAGTGCCGGGACGGTAGGTTTCCGATCAAGGGGGGGGGGCGCCTTCGTCGGGACGCCCACGGGACTGCAGGCCTCCCGAATGGGACCCGAGTAGATCCGCGGGAGAAAAGGACATCGATACCGCGCCCTGCCCTCGTTTTCGCCATTTTGGGCTTCCTTGGAGGCCGTCGTCGCCCCTGCTGGGTTCCTGGTCAGAACGCACCCCGGGGAAAGATTTGGCGAGCAGCGCTGCCAGTAGCTGTTGGGTCGGAGGATCGCGCCGCCTCGCCGATGCATCGGCGATGCGGCTCGGTGTGCAGCCCGATGTTTCCCCACGGCGGCGGCGCTGATGCATCGCCGATGCGTCGCCGATGCCTCCCCGATGCCTCCCCGATGCATCGGCGATGCGGCCCGATCCTCCTAGCCCATCGGCTCAAGACCAGTATCGGCGATCCGGCCCTGATGCATCGGCGATTGGGCCTTCAATACCTCCGTGGGGAGGAGGGTGTGCATTTGCCGCGTCGGCGGCGGGTGGGCTCAGGGGGTAGCGCGTAGACCCCCAATCGCCTATTTGATCGCCAGTACGGGCCCAGTAGCCCCACCCCGCCCAGGAGCTCACGAATTTGCTCGAAGTGGCACATCGCCGAATCATCGGCGATGTATCGCATATTCCAGGTCGACGTCTCCCTCCCTGAGCAAGTCCCCCCGAACGTTCCCACTCGACCGAAGCACCTATTTGTGGATTTCCCAGGTTCCAATGAAATTTAGGGGCCTTCCTATTTCAAGAGTCGAGCAGCCTTTTCTTGCCCTTTTTCTTCCTGTTCAGGGGGCGGGCGGAGACCCACTCTGCTTTCAACACCTTCCTTCTTTGTAGTTCTATCCACTTCGTCCGAAAGATGGGTGCCCTGGACTTCTGGGCGGATCGTGTGTTCTTCAATTGGCGGTGCTTCCTCTGAACTGTTCGCTCCTCTGGGGCCGTTCTCTTGGCCGCGGGGCCACTCGGGATGGATCTGGGAGGACGAGCTGCCCCTGAGGACGAGATCGGGACCTCAGGGGACCGCGGATTCACAGAGTACGTCTCGCGTTTGGGGGGGAGAGGGGATGAAGGCGGGATGAGGACGGATGATCGCCGATGCATGTGTTTGTATCCATGTCTGGCCCTATGGAGGCCCCAGGGGCCACCCGCGCATCTGGCGACCTCTTGAGGCCTCCAGGGATCTCCGGCGTTGAAGAGGAGTGAGGAGTGAGGAGGAGTGAGGAGTGAGGAGTGAGGAGGAGGAGGAGGAGGAGGAGGAGCAGGAGGAGGAGGAGGAGGAATGGGAATGGGAATGGGAACGGGAATGGTCAAATGACAAAGCCATAACTAATTGACACGATCTCTACTCAGATGACGAAGGAGCCGTATACAACTGGTTCTGGTGGAAGATGTAGAGGAGGATGAACACAAATGAAGTCAATTGAAATGAAATCCCTTTCACCAGAGCTTTGACACACACAGGATCCCAACACATACAAATGGAACACTGCCGCCAAAGTGAGGATAAGACAAATTACGTTCTGAAGCAAGCCACCACAGACAAAGGCCAGCGCCTAAGCTGAAATGAAATCGGCTCTATGAGGCCCTACCGCAGATCACCGGGCTACTTCGCGAGCGATCGCTTCATCCACACACAGCCTCGCCACTGGTCACCAGAAAGGTAGCACCTCCAACAGCATGAGCTCCAGACCCTGCAAAAGAAGGTAGTACGCCCAGGCCGAGGGGTGAAGGACTTAGATGGGCTCGCAGCCCCCGTGCCTCCAGCCCAACCCACTGCCTGGGACGGAACTTCACGCAGCCGAAGAGGTACGCCCAGGCCGAGGGGTGAAGGGCTTAAATGGGCTCGGAGCCCGCGCGCCTCCAACCCAACCCTCGGCCTGGGACGGACGTTGAAATTGACGTTCAGGAGGAACCCAGAACACCAATCTTGCAAAACTCGTCGACCGAAAACTTTGCACTGTACTAGCCAACCGCACGAATGTAACAACTGTTGTGTCGCAATCAAGCGGTGCCCCTCAACCACCCCGGGGATGTTCAGTGCAGGACAGGGAGCTTGCCAAGTTGAGCCAAAAAATGGTTATACTGCGCTCCGCGCCCCTGTGCTTGAGGGAGGAGGAGGAGGAGGAGGAGGAAGAGGAAAAGGAGGAAGAGAAGAAGGAGAAGGGGATGAGGATAAGCAGGAGGAGGAGGAGAAGGAAGAAGAGGTGGAGGAGAAGGAGGAATTCAGGTAGCCATATCGATAGAGTCAGCGGGTCCTTCCCATTCCCACAATTCCTCCCACAACATTGGAACGCGTCCCCACCTAGCGAGCGGAAGGCGCTCGCTGGAGGTCCCGCTTCCGACGAGCCTGGCGAAGGGAACCTGCGCTGGCCGCGCAGGAAATGGAGCGGGAATCTTCCGCTGAGCGCGGCGAAGACGAAGTATGCGCCGCGCCGGAACAGGATTGTTTTTTCTCACAGACTGTGCGGCGCTTCTATTCAAGCTTCGCGCGGCCCGCTTAGCTTCGACCGGAAGAGGTGCGCTCTCGACCCGCGGATCAACAAAAGAATTGTGCGGCGCTTCTGCGACAGGACAGCAGTTTGCTCGCTCCCGCGCGGCCCCTCTGCCTCTGCCGCTCGACTGCGACTTGGCGAGCGCAATCTGTGCCGCGCCCGCGCGGGAACGCCATTCCCTAAGCGAGAAGTTCACGGGACTCGGGCGAGGGCGACACGAACCGCCCGCTCGAGCGGGGCCCAAAAAATCACCGAGAGAAGTTCTATGAGCGTAGTTCTGTGTTCCTCGGCGCTGCTGCTCAGACAATCTTCTGGCGATGCTTCTCGTCACCATTTGTTTTTCTCTGAGTTGCTCGATTCAGATCGTGTGCGACCCTTGGACAAGGAAGGAGAGATTCACTCACGTTGTTTTCTTTTCTGAGGCTTACGCCTGCTCCGACGCTCTGGGTTGTAGCAGGCTCCGTAATGTCCCCGCTAGCTGTCAGAATGATCTATGTATATGCACCGCCCTGAGACGGCGGGGGCACTGATTTCAAGCGGCGTCTGCGCGGCGCCGGGGCCACAGCGACCTTCTCGCCCGCTCGCCCGTCGACGACGTGGCGTGCGAATCATGTGCGCCGCGCCCAAGCTCGGCGGCGAGCGAG